TAAGGAAGGGGTCCAATTGCAACCTTCTGCATATGACTATCCAGTTATTTCAGCACCATTTATTGAATAAAGAGTCCTTTTGCCATTGCTTGTTCTTGTCAATGTTGTTGAAAATCAGGTGGCTGTAGGTGTGCAGCATTGTTTCTAGGCTCCCTATTCTGTTCCAGTGGTCTATGTGTCTGTTTTTGTACCAGTACCTTGCTGTAAAAGCTCTGTTTTTATATTTTTCTTCCTGAAAATCCCATTCATCTCTTCTCTTCCTCCCTTTCTTATACAAAATTTTAAAAACACTTTCAGCATCTTGACCATAGCTCTTTCTTTCTCCCCCTTTAATATTTTTTCTTCACTGTAGTGTCTTTCTATATTCTCTTAAGCAAATGTTTCTTGTCTCTTTTTCATAATGATAGCTAACATTTTTGATGCTTACTGTTTTTCAGGCACTATGCTATGTATTTCACATGCATTCTCTCAATAACAATAACAATCAATCAATAACAATCTCATTATCCCTATTTTCAGATGAAAAAACTGAGGCTTTGAGATATCAAGTGACTTGTCTGTAGTCACAGAACTCCCAAGTTTCAGAGCTGTGGTGAGATCCCAGATCTATCTGGCTGTGACCAAGCCTCTAAAGCCCATGTTGTTAGGTTCTCTGCTGTGATATATGTCTAATTAAAAAAAAACATGAAAGTAGAAATGTGCTTTTTAAAGCACTCATAATCTCCATACCCACAAAGGACCCAAATTAAAACTTCTCTATCTTTCCTTCCAGTGTGTTTTATGCATCATATATGGGAATTTTTTTTAAGTTTTAACACTATCTGTGACTTGGTGATCATTTTAAATGAGTTAACATACTTAAAAATGTGTAAAATCACAAATCTTATTTCAATGGCAGAAAATATTTTAGTACCTTGACAGAGTAGATATTACCTGTTACTTTAAATTATATTGTCAAAGTGGAACAAATAATTCAGTAAGTATTATTTTACTTTTCAGTGATGCTGTACCATGTTAGAAAATACTTGATTCAGTGCAAAATGTAGATGTGACTCTGTGAATACGGGCTAATGATAGACTATCTTTTTTGTTTCTAAAATATTTTTGGCAAGGAATGCACCAAAATTTCTAAAGGAAATTCTAGAAAGAATATTAAAATTAATCTGTTGATATTGCAGACAATTCTGGTTTACAAGGTGAAATTGCTGCAGATGAATACTGTAGACTTATGTGTGTAACATCAAGTACTAAGAGTGAAATTGTCAACTTAATTAGATTGGTAGAGTGAGATTGGGGAGTAAGTCTGTATATGTAAACAACATTTTGATTTTTAGAGATGGGGTATCACTTTTGTTGCCCAGGCTGGTCTTGAACTCATGGCTTCATAAACCAATGTCCCTCAGAAGTATGATAAACCCTGCATTTGTTACTGTGACAAAGTATTCCTTGACTTTGAAGCTAATTATGTACTTATATGCTTCAAAATGAATACAGGTGGAGGCTTTACTCACAAAGTAAATAAACTGGTAAAGAGAGCAAATTAATTTTAAATAGCTATGACCCTCTAGCCAAAATCTATTTCAAGTTTCTGGGAGGAAGGGAAGTTGAGTGCCCTAGTTTGGTCTGACATACTTTCCTCTCTATTTTGAGAATTTGAATGTAAACTACCCCACCTCCCCTACAAACACCACTATTAAAAAAAAAATAAACAATCAACTCTGAGTATCTGAGTATCTTTGTATCAGTAGAAGCTCTAGAAAAAGTAAAAACAGGTTGAAATTATGTCCCTGTTTTCACCAACACTTTGACCTTGTCAGTAAAATTCCACTGTCTATAAAATGGGGATCCATACTTTATAAAGTGTTTAAGTAAGATCAAATAAGTGAAATGACTGGCTGATATTGCACATAGTATTTCCTTTAAAAGTCTGAATTTCCATTCTGTTCACATTGAAACAGTTACTTGAGCACATCTTTGATCCACTAAATAGCAAGAACTTTCAGATCTATGATATGTTACAATGTATACATCTCCACACATCAGCTATGGGTACTCTCCTGCATAGTACTATACAGTACAGTTACTGCTCTCACCGACTCTGGACATGCTCTCTCTCTTTTTATGGGATACTGAAGTCCAAAAAGATAAAGTGGCCTCACCATGGTCCCACAGATGATAAAGAACTGGGACTCAAATCCAGGCCACCTGACTGCTAGTCCTAAAGCTGCCTACTTGATCCACATATTCAGGAATGAACATCTGATTTAGGCTATGATTTTCTCACACCAGCAATTGACAATTAAGGATCCCACTGTATACAAAAGGAAAAAAAATAGAGCTTGAATAGATATAGACTCCAGAATTTTTTTTAATGTCAGCCACTCCCTTCTATGAAAAGCAGTGTTTTAAGATATAATTAGTATTCTGAGCATAGGGTGATGGTAAACATTATGTTTTGCATTATCATGAGATGGCAAAATTACCCACTCTCAAAGGACCAGCTGCTGCAGGGCAGCTGGCACCCAGGATGCCTACATTCTCAAAACTATTTTAATTGGTAGTTTCCCTTTTTTTTTCTTTTTTTTTTCTTTTTTGTCAATCAGAGAGGAAATGTATGTGTAAATCTATTAAAGCCATAGCATCTGTTATGATGAAATGACATTGCCGAATCTTAGGAAGTGAAGCATTCCATCTCAAGATTTTGAGACTGCTCTGTGTTCTTACTGAGGCAAGGGTTCCCATAACTAAATAGGTACGGAAAAATTATGGACAAAAACAGATACAAAATTCTTCCCATACTTTTCATCTAATATTACCATGGTAGTCATCATTTTGCATTGATATACACGACATACACGAAACTATTCATCACATTAGATGTATATGGTCCTAAGAGGAAAAAGCTCAAATTTTGAAATAGGAAGACCTGAAATTAAATCCAGTCTCTGCTCAAATTGCTGACAGCTTTAAACAGAGGACTTAATCACTTGGAAGTCTTCTCATTTCTATAATGTAGATAATAAGTTTTATTCCACAAAGTTATAGGAAGGATCCAATAGTTGAGAATATTATAAATCAACAAATATTGCACTGCTATCAATAACAAACATTTATTAGGTGTTCATTACATAACAGGGTATGTACTAAGTGCTTATATGTGCTTTATCTCATTTAATCTTCCCCAAAAGCCTTCCTGATAGATATTACTATTACATCCAATTTACAGATGAGAATATGATAACGCTTAGAGAGGCTAAGGAAATCAACTATGGTTACAAACTTAAAAAATGGAGGACCCAATCATTGAACTTAGTCTTATTCTTTCACTTGTTAAACAAATATTTGCTAAGGAAAGATCCCCTGAACAAAACTGAACACGGTTGGAAGGAGGAAGTGGGGAATGACAGTTGAGTAAGCAAACCAGCCATGTTCACTGTACTCTGGCCACTGTGTAGTGAATGGATGGAAAGGTAACAAGAGAGAATCCAAGAAGGCTAGACAGGCGTTTGTGTAGGTGATTCATGTGAGAGATGATGTTGACTTCAACCAGGGTGGTAGCAATGAAGATGAAGAAACTGGATGGACTGAGGCTATACTTGCAGGTAGAACTGACTTTGTGGTGGTGGGGGAAAAGAAGCATCAAGCAAGGGAGGCCTCTCATTTTTGACTCTGAGCAACGTGGTGATCTGAGATTGGGGACACTAGAATGGATATGCAGAGTGAAGGAAAGAAATTTTTGTAGTCTCAAGCCCTGTGCTCTTAACCATTATTAATGTTATCACTAATTATTATCATGAAAATAAAATATATCTGGAGTTGATGGCCACATAACTTTAAATTACCTGGAATGGTTTATGGAAATGTCAAATTATTCCTTTCCATGTGAAAATGAAAAAAAAAAAAGAGGGAAGTTTGATGTAGAATTTGTTGCGGTTCTTAGTTTTCAAAGTAAGCACCTAGGAATAGGATTGTCTGAGGTTCTCCTTGAACTTTGTAAATCTGAACTTCAGTATTTATAACATTATAAGATGAATTGAGGTGGAGAGGAGGGTGAGGAAACACTGGAAGATAATTTGCCAGAAAGCTAACAGGTTTATTAAATTAAATTAAATTAAATTAATTATTATTATTATTATTTTCTTTTTTTGAGATGGAGTCTCGCTTTGTCTCCCAGGCTGGAGTATAATGGCGTGATCTTGGCTCACTGCAAGCTGCACCCCCGGGATTCAAGCAATTCTCCTTTCTCAGCCTCCCAAGTAGCTGGAACTACAGGCACACGCCACCATGTCCAGCTAATTTTTATATTTTTAGTAGAGATGGGGTTTCACCATATTGGTCAGACTGGGCTGGTCTTGAACCCCTGACCTCAGGTGATCCAACCACCTTGGCCTCCCAAAGTGCTGAGATTACAAGCGTGAGCCACCGCACCCGACCTAATAGGTTTATTTTAGATGATTGAGTCAAGTATATTTTTTCTTCTCTCTACATTTTTATATTTTTCAGGTGTTTGAAAATGATTACTTATTACTTTTACAACGAGTAAGTTAAAAATTTGAGAAAATTAGTCCGTAGTTATATTTGTTATGTCTATATAGTTATATTTGTTATATCTATATAGGTCATAGTAATAAGTTCTGAGAACCACTCAAATTGTGACTTTCAGTCAAACCAATTAAAATAATGATAACTTACAGAGGTCTTAAAATACATGCCCTTCTAACTATGCCATATGTGAAGCAGTCCCAGTCAAAGTGGACTGGAGTTTAGGATGGGACCTGACCAGTAGTATAATAAAAAGTGGCTGGGAAGAAGGCTAAGAGGCTTGAGGAGTTTAACATTTTTTAGATTTCCTTCATTTGAAGCATCCTTCCAAATGTAAATATTTTAACATTTCTTAGATTCTTTACTTTCCCACTTCTTAAGGTCAGATAAACATAATAATATTATTTAAGAAATCCTGCTAGCCACTTCTGAATCTTGACTCTTTTCCTTCCTTGCAGGGTCAACGATTGTATCTTGCGGGTGAATGAGGTTGATGTGTCAGAGGTTTCCCACAGTAAAGCGGTGGAAGCCCTCAAGGAAGCGGGGTCTATCGTTCGGCTGTATGTGCGTAGAAGACGACCTATTTTGGAGACCGTTGTGGAAATCAAACTGTTCAAAGGCCCTAAAGGTAATACAAATATAAATGACTCACAGATACTATTGGCAAACCATCTGGCTAAAGTTTATGCCACAATACTCGTATGATGAACTCTTTAACCTCTGACATTCAGGGCTTACCAAGAGATTTAAAATGCTATAATAGTGGTTACCAAGGGTAAAGGAAACCAGTACTCTAAATATGAACTCAGATAAGAAAGAAAGGATAGATTTATGTAGAAACATCTTTATAAACAAAAATAATAACAGTCATCTATATTTTTCTATAAATACTGAATCTTACTGGATGATGATAACTTGGCTAGCATATTAATACTAATTTTTCAGATACAAATGGTAAATCATTTAGCAAAATAGTAATAAAATAATTAAAATAATCTATACTAATATAACAATTTTTTAATAATGTTGTTGTGATATGTTTAAAGTTTGATTATATTCTTGTGTGTTGTACCCAATGTTACATGACATTTTATGCTTGCAATAGCCAAAATAAGTTAAAATTTATTTATTTTTTTTGAAATGTACATGTATCTCTTGAGATTATTATAGATACTCTGTGGAGTTGCATCAACAGATGAATTACCACACTAATTTTTGTTTGTTTGGTTTTTGTTTTGTTTTGTTTTGAGGTAGGGTCACACTCTGTTGCCCAGGCTAGAGTGCAGTGGCAGGATCATGACTCACTGAAGCCTCAAGCTCCTGGGCTCAAGTGATCCTCCCATCCCAGCCTCCCAAATAGCTGGGACTACAGGCATGCACTAGTGCATGTGGTTATTATTATTACTATTATTATTATTATTATTACTATTATTGGTAGAGACAGAGCCTCGTTTTGTAGCCCAGGCTGGTCTTAAACTCCTGGCCATAAGTAATCATGCTTTGGCCTCCCAAAGTGCTGAGATTACAGGTGGGAGCCACTGTACCTGGCCCATACTAATTTGTAAGAATAATCCTTTGAGCTCTGTTCTTCAGAATGATGACATTAAGTAGTAACTTAATAGTATTTAATATTTTGGGAAAAATTTAATAATTAGCTTAACATTATTTGAATATTTTAAATGATTATGACCAGATAATCACCGTACTCTTTGAGTAAATCATTTCTCATTTCTTTAAAATCTATTTAATTTCTAATACTATCTGAGATTGAAGAAATAAGCCTGCCACCTCTTCTAGGAGGCAGTAGTGGGTGGTATTTAAGATCTCAGGACTGAGTTTAAAAGCCTGGTTCAACCACTTGCTAGCAGAGTCATCTTAGTTGGGCCAACTCCCTCATTATTAAATGGGGATCACAATGGTAGCATCAATCCATAGGGTTTATGAGGATTAAGCATTTAACCAATAGCTGGCACATGGTAAGCAATAGAGCCTGGTGGTTAAGATGCAGACTTTACAGCCCAAAGTGTCTAGATTAGTACCTTGGCTCTGCAGCTCACTAGCTGTTTGGCCTTGAGCAAATTGCTTAACCTCTCTGGGTCATATTTTCTCATCTACAAAGTGCAAATAAGAATAGTACTTGCTCCTAGACATGTTGTGAGGATTAGATTAGTTGATTCACAAAAAGTATTTAGAATAAGACCTGGCACAAACTAACTGACCAACAAAAATTAGCTGTATATGCATGTTATCTGTACTATTATTTACTACGTATGGTTTTAAACTTTGTAACAATTGTTTGGTAATGTAATGAAAATATTCAGAGATTCCTCATGGGTTAAATTCAAATGCGTTAAAATCATAGAACTAAATCTGGGAACAAAGAAAAAAAGTGAAGCATTTTCATACCACAGTCTCTAGTGGTATGAAAGAATTTCAACCCTCACATTTACTAAAAGCATATTGCAAGGAGCTTTAAAGCCAAACAAAATGGCCATATACATTATTTCTATTAAAAATATATATTATATTTCTATAATTTCTATAATTCAATTAACTGTAATTATTCAGCATAGCCCTAAGACAAATACTAATTTTAACCACTCAGCAAAGTAACATCATGCATTTATAGACCTGCTAGCTGAGCAACTGTTTGACCTCCAGCTGCTCAGCAGAGCACTTAAAGGCTATAGATGACTAAAACTTAATTTTATCAAGAACACATATTTTAGATTTTTATTTTTGACACTAGGGCTGCAGCTGGTTTACTTCAGTCTGAGCTGCTTTCTTCCTTGAGCCTGGAGTGGGGCAGTAATTGCTGTGGGACCTGGAGTGGGGAAATGGGGAGAAGTGAGCATCAGTCAACTGGGTATACCTAGGCAATAACCCAATTAAAGTATACAATGTATGGGAGATGGGGTTACAAGTGAACTTGGTCTACTGAGATGAGGAGAACCAGATAACTGTTAGAAATAACTTTACATCCCTAAAAAGCAGGTTCTTGCGAAAGGTCAATTGGGCCTGTTGGGGTTATGCTGAGTCAGTCATACTTCTTTCTACTGTTGCTGTCCAGAGGTCACTGATGGGGATTTGTTTCTCTATATAAAGCTTATTGATTTACAGAAAAACTATTTTAGTCATTGTTTAAATTCCTCATGCCTCTCCCAGTACCATAAACACAGCAAGTGCTGAATCAGAGTAAGTTGAATAGAGAAAATTGGATTTTACACTAACTCTGATGATACCTCATGGTCTTAACTTCACTTGGCACCTTATAATTCTTCATTTTTGAATTACAGTATGTGTAAAGGGAATACCTACCAATGTTTAACTCATACAACAGAAACTCTTATGCACCCTGGAGTGAAGATAAATGAGATGTAGTCTCTGTCCTCAGAAAGTTTAAATGGGAGAGATGCATGTGAAGTCAACTACCTTTAATGCAAGACAAAATGAACTCAGCTCTATGATGGAGCCTGAGCCATGATTTCATTGGAACAAAGTGGAAGATATGATTCATCATAACTAGGGGAGACAAAATGGTCCAGAGAATCTAAAATTTTCAGCAAACTAACACAGGAACAGAAAACCAAACACCACATGGTCTCGGTCGTGGGAGCTGAACAATGAGAACACATGGACACAGGGAGGGAACATCACACACCAGGGCCTGTTGGGAGGCTGGGGGGAAGGGGAGGGAGAGCATTAGGACAAATACTTAATGCATTCAGGGCTTAAAACCTAGATGACGGGTTGATAGGCACAGCAAACCACCATGGTACATGTATACCTATGTAACAAACATGCACATTCTGTACATGTATCCCAGAACTTAAAGTAAAAGAAAAAAAAAAAAAAACTTGACATGTGCACAGTTTATCTGCCCTTCCTTGAGCACATGGGTACAATATAGTAAGTATCAAAAATCTAGCCAACTGATCTAACTGGATTGAATTATGTATATATAATACAGAGTTATGTAGATATACATTAATGTAGTCCTTCAATTATTCAACAAATACGTATTGTTTACTATGTACCTGGCACAGATCCAGACAATAGAGATTCACAAAGAAAATTCAGATAGTTCTTGCTCTCAAGGAGATTATAGCCTGGTGGGGAAAACGCCTGTAATATAAATTGGGAAAAGTACTAGGAATAAATTTAAAAGATTTTTAAGGGGGTACCAATTAAACAGTGGGTCAAAGGAGACTTCTATCAGCAAATGCCACTTAAGCTAAGCCTTGAAATATAAATTAAAATAGACATTTAGCCAGGTAAAGAGTGGGAGAGAGCATCCCAGATGGAAGTAGAGGCATGTGAGTATGATGGCTATAGTGTAGAAAAAGATCTTGATAACTTCTAGGAGTCTAATAATATGAACATTAATTGCATGAAATGATACAGCCAAGATGAGCAAGGGCCAGATCATACTTAGCTTTGTTGGCCATATTTGAAGATTTGTGTTTATATTGAAATGCAATGGGAAATTACTGATATTTTAAGCATGAGTGACACATGATAAAATATATAATTTTTAGAAGGTCATTCTGACTGCTATTAAGCAAATGAATTGAAGAGGGCACAAGTGAGAGCAGAGATCAGTTAGGGGTTGCTTGGAGGAAGGAGAAAAAGGTGAATGGATTTGAGCCATCTTGATGCCTTTATTGGTAAAATAGATGATGGTGTTTCAAGGATGAGGTTCAGTTTTTTAGGTGGGGTGCCATTTGTGAGGTGGGGAAGATTATGAAGGAATCTCTGCAGAGAGAGGGAACCTCTGATGCATCTGAAGAGGAAATCTCAAGGAAGCAGACCTGGAGAAAATCTGTCTAAAAACCCTGCCAAATTAATATACTGATTTTTCACTATATTGTGTGAAATATCTGGGTTTGGGAAAATATTTTTAAATTGACTTTTTTACTTTTTATTAATCTTTAATATAAAAAATTATGAATATGGCTACTTCAGCTATTTTAAAGAGTTAATGCATTTAATAAATCTATTTTATAGATTTTATAGCTTATTAATACCCAGAATGTTTTTAGGTTGGGGATTGTGTTTGTTTTTACACAGAACAGAGGATAAACAGATTTATTCCTTTCTATGCTATAGGTAAAACATTAAGACATTCCGTGAAACAGTGATTTGTAGCAAATTAAATTTACAGTTTTTCAATTTCATACTCTGTATTGATTCCATCTATTGCAAAAATTACTAATTTGAGATAACCTTTGATGTATGTGACTTTGTCTTTATAGCTGAGCTAATCTTCCCAACACTCAGATGGAATCAATCATCTGAATGGTGATTTATAGCCATATATTTCAGTAATGGATATTTGGGTGATACTCATTCTGACTTAGAATGTCTTTTCTCAAAATAGGTAAAAACTTTGCTAACATCACAGTTATAGATTTGGTCATTGCAAGCACCTGGGGTGTCTGCATGTGGGCAATCAATTGAGAAAAAAATAGGTAATTATATGTAGGAAGAAATTACTAGGCAAAGCCATTTAGGCTTACCAAGCAACCAAAAATCAAGCAAAGGAAGAAAATCTAAAGTGTGTATGTGGGTTTCCAGGAAATAGATTTACTATAGAAGGCTTCCTAGTGACTTTCCCAAGAACACATT